TTAGTATGTATTGTTGTACACTTGTACTTATGATCACAGTCAATTAACAGCTCACATTTGATTGAAATCACAACTGCAATCGCTCTCCTGGCCACCCGATCACTTGGTTGTATATGCAAACAGACTGATGAGGATACCCAACCTCTCACAAGAAGCCAATAATCGCAACACTCAGTATGCAAGATTTCATTGTACTGGAGGTTATTGTCACTGTGAATTGTTGGTACTTCATAATGAGTCAGGTGACAATGAATATTGGTTAACCTACCTAGTATCGGTGATTTAAAGTCAGAATCAACAACAGTTTTAATATTCTCTTTTGTCTTCTTATCTTAATACTTTCGTAATGATTGCATCAAAGTTTTATGGTCTTTTGTGGAGGAGAATTTTAATCTCTTCATATTGATGAGTTATCGGTTGAGGTATGGGCTTTCAAATCAGTGAGATACTGGTTAGATGTAAATACAGGCAGCCAGACAGGAGTGCTTATCTATTACACAGAAGAATAGTAAACGTCAGTTAAAGTTTCAGCAAGAAGAGCGTTCTATTGGTTTATTTAGACAGATAACTCCTAAGTACGATTGATTCGTGGTCACCTTATGATTCTAGATTCATGAACAAAGTTTTCTTAAAAACCATTTAAGTGGTCAGTTCGTGATATCTTTCTGTTACATTCATTCCAGTAAAACGGCTGCGTTAACCATTTTCAACAACCATACTCTATAAAAATGAAAGCCATATATCAACACAGTCTTCACTACAGATATTTCTTATTCTATAGCACTGAGTGAATAAGATTTCCTTTCTGTTGACAAGCACCCAAATATAAAAATGAGTGATTTGTCCATTCCTCATTGCTTTTCTGCAGATGAGTTTTTTAAGGGATTTGTTGTTATGTTTGGTGAGAAACAGACAGTTGCATCGTTGATACTGAGGATGTCCATTTTTTCACCTGCCTTTGTAAACTCGGTCAGCTTTTATGATATTTTAAGGGTAAGGCCATGACTTTCTGAACTTTACAAATGAAAGTGCTAACCTACTTCACACCTGAAGTATATGTAAAGTGGTTAACATGAGGAATATCGGGTACAACGCTAGCGTCCATTCGAACAAATAATTGTATGTCAGAGTGACTTACTCGTTCCTAAAAGTAACATGCACGGTTGTATTTCAGCCATACTCAAAATACTAACTTAAATACAGTATGCAGTCAGATACAAATCTATCAACTGGAACTACTTCTTACTCTCCTTTATATAAGTATGCCTCTGCTATCAACATTTACGCACATTAGGTGAGTACAACCATCGGTTAGCAAAGCAACGAGCTATCTTCCCTTTTTTATGCAGATATCTAGCTGTAATCAGCATAGTGTGTAATCCTAATATCTCATGATCAAACCAATCCTTTGGAAAATTTGTACAATTTATACTGTATTGACAACAAGGCAGTATGCTGAGTTCACGAGTGACTTTAAAAGCCACCCTAGCAACTGCTTGGATGGCCAATTGGGTTCCTTCATTCCGCGAAATCTACCTTCCTAGGCTAACTTTTAAACCTGATTCGTTGTCTCAGCAGTTGTTAGAATAGCCTGTAGAGTCACTCTGTTTCTGTTATTATCCCGTAAATGATACCAAGATGATCACTGATCAGTGCATAGCTAGTCTATCGAAACTAATGTGAACATGATAGGTTAGTACACATACAAACCACGATACATTTAAATCCTAGTGCCAAATTATTTGTTGGATGATATTGAAAATCGCTATGTGAACGGCTAGAGTATATGTGATAAGACTCATACACACCTACATGGGTAACCAAGTTTGCAGTGTCCAGCATAACCAATTTCAAAATCAGTTTTAAACCAACAACTTTTAACCAAGTTTGTAAAGTGCTTCCACAACGCCTCCCTCCAACCTGAAACAACACTTAAGTTACTATCATGGAGAAAATTGACTTGTGAACTGTTTTTAGACTCTGAGGATAAATAATATATGATAGAGGAAATAAAGTGGTAGCAGTTTCTAAGTCGATTATCATATATCTTTCATTTCTTCAAACAAAATGCGGCTGAAGATCGAAATGACAGTATCTTTCTTAGATTGTTCACATACTAACTAAATTACTCAACGTCCATTCCTAGACAGAATGCCATAGAGATGTCAGTCCTTTTAGCCTCAAAGAATTATAATAAGTTGTCTTAAATTTGAAGCGATGAAAAACGACAGCACTTTGCTTATCGTCTCCAAGTCCTCGAGGTTGGTCGTAAAGAGTTATTGGCTGGGATATCTCAGGTGTCGAAATTACAGGTAATTCAATCACAAGATTAGTGGTCACGCGAGCTTGCATGGAAGAAGATGGGTCTCCCATGACGACCACACATGAATCAGTCACGATAAAATCATTCATGACATCTGACGGTGTGAAGTCATTTGATGCTCTAGCACAGCCAAAGAACAGTGAGTTGAAAGATGTAAGGCTTGTTATGTAGCTGAATGGAAGTGAGTTAGTTCAATTTTCCACCTTCAACAAGTTTTGAAAATCACAGATATTCCCTGACTCCAGATACTTACTAGGTTTCCCAACCTGCACGCAGTACCTGAGTTCGTAAATCGAAAAGCCTCGTAAACAGTCTCGGACTGCTACGGAAGTATAAAGTGAATATACCTTCTAAATGAATGCTGTCTTATTGAACTTGCATAAAAGTGCCAAGGCTTTTGAAGAGTCATCATTTGAAATGATGATAACTGCTACAGTCCACCTCTCAAAAATTCACATACTAATCAAGAAACACATTTTCCAACTAGAGGAGTGAGCCATCTTGAGTAAAGACAGTGAAAATTATGGTGTTTCTGAACGCCTAGACCGGAAACTTGAATATGCTTCGAATTCGTCTCGCACGTGATGTTGTCAGATTATGCCACACAGTTGGGCTACTGTGACATTAATGTGAACGAAAGTGACTGGGGTGGGTAGTCACATTGAATATTACACTATAAACTATGTCGAATCACTTCTAATGAGCCAGCTGACAACAAAATCTTAGAGTGCATGAAAAAGCCTATGTCAAGAACAGCACCAATCCATGAGGCCTTCTATTAGTGCTTTCAGCTGTGTAGGTAGGTATATTCTGCCCAATTTCGGGGTGGCAAGATACCAGTAATCCGAAATGTGGCACACTTTTTATGATAGTGCTCAAAATCGATCAAAATAGAGTAGGTGTTTTCATTGTTTCCCATTATCCTGATTTCTAACAATATTACTAGCGATTATTTACTTTTCTGCATCTCTCTTCTCCTACACCTTGATATCATTCCTCCCCCATACACCTACTCTTTCTGTGTTGTTTTGAAATGTGTGGCAGTCAGTTTAGTCGTATGTCATGATATTTGACTGTCACTTGTTTATCATTTACTACACTAGTACAGCGATTTGGAGGCTTGAGTTTGTGCCCAGTATTATTCCTTAGGGATATAAGCATACATTATTGAAGGAATTTCAGTCGTATTAGTCCCTCTAGATTATTTCTTTCGAGTTTCTGAGAGTTTTGGCAACCATTAATTCGTTAGTAATAGATATTTGGATATATTTCTATGAAGTACACATGAATAGTCAGTCCATGATGAATATCACCACGAAATGATTTTAATCCCTGTGAAACTCCAAACTCTGTCATAGTCGCTGAGAGGTAACGTGTTCACCCCGAAACTTGAATGTCACGGGTTCGACCATACTTGGAATCGTGAATGGCTACTACTGGGAAATCCCATACTAAGTCGAAACAGAAGTCTAGGGTTCTCAAGTTTACAATATTTCCCTAGTTGATATCAGTCTGTGGTAATGTCTTGAGATTATTCAGTCCTGACAAACTTCGATAGTGAATCACCGTTAAGTAGTTGCACATTTTACATTGCATTTGCACATAGTGAACACCGAGTATTCTGTACTTTTTTAACAGATTCCTGAAAAAGTTTGGCGAGTATCCCATGGTATGGACTTTTCGGTGGTGATAGCCTAAAGGTCTAAAGCACATTTGCCTTCATGCTCACTTTATAAAGAAAGAAGAGTCAACTGACTATGCTAGTTCACTTGTCAAACGAACCTAACAGGGGGGAAGGTATGGTTAAAGTTTAGTAGTCAGAAGTCGATGAGCTTAGTTCTGATGAATTCAGTAGATCTGATAATGACAGTTGCTAGAAATTTTCCAAAGTTCCGGAAACATCAAACCACAGTCAGCTTTGATGGCCTACTCGTATTTAAACTGTCTACATTCTTAACACAGAGCGAATTGAGAGTGGTTGTTTTACTATTTATCATCCATCCATTTTCGTGCAGTTATCTGTTGCTCATTGGTTTTGAACACATCACACAGCGCAGTAGTGCTATTGAATGGACAGTGTTTCAGACACAGTTTGTTGTCCTTGGTCAGTTCATAAGCTATACCACTGAGAAGTGCAACTCTAAACACATACTTAAGGTAGTATTCATCACGAACCGAAATCAGTGGTAGAACCATTGAGTGCCTGAGAGTACTGGACGGCTGTTTCATCCTTTTATGAGACTACTCAGCAGTGCACACCAATCACCTCACTAAATCTTAAGCTGAAACACTCTCCAAACACATTTGTTTAGTGATTAGATCACCTCATTATGGCTAGCAAAGAATACTGATCGCAGTGATTTGTCTCAAACTACTGATTGGTGCCGGAAGTGTTCATCGTGTAACATTCAGGCTAGCGTTCTTGAAGTTATCATTGGTATCAAGTGGATTATACTTTGTAATACAGACAATCCGGTTTTCTGAGGCAACTACGATGATATTCTACAACAAGCATTCTCCCAATTGTCTGATTTTCATTTCAAGCTACTGGCCTTTCATCGAATACCCGCTTTAATCTGTGGCATACATTTTTCATGAGAGCTTCAATCCCTTGCTAGAAATCCCTCAATACTCTATCTCCTTTGGAATTACTTTCGAGTAAGAAAAAAAATACATAGTCAACATTTACTGAGAATAATTCAGAAAGATTTCAGTTGTTTGTGCAGTTGAAGACCAGCGTGAGAGAAGTCAGTTTCACTACCCAAAAATCCTGAACAAGTTAAACAAATCTGGTTCATAACTATTGAGATTCTTCTCATACGACGTAATTTCTCTCCACTGAACTCCCATTTTCAAACAAATATCCTTGCGAAAGATAGATGTTGCCATGAAGCAGGTAAATTGCACCCCTATGAAGAGGAAATGAAAACCAGACTGAGGGGCAAATAAATATGATGAGTGAATTCATTGAGAAATGATGATGTCAGATGCACTAAAATCTCAGTAAACAAAATCTAGGTGTGTTAGCGAGATTAAACATTATTATGATAAGCTATTTAAAAAGATCCAAAGCTGATATGACATGGAGAAGTGTTGTATGCAGTGGGTAATGAAACAGCTGATAGCGAACTAGAAGTACTGGTAAGTTATACCTCCATTAAACGAGTGGTAGTTAAATTAGATTGCATTCCCCTGCCGAAGGACTGATTATGAGCTGAACACTAAGAACAGTCAATGAAAGGAGATCTTCTTGATATGACACCGAAGGAAAGTAAAAAACCTTTTGACTGACGACATTGTACGCTTGCTATTTCTGTGCTAGTTCAGTCAGAGAACAAATGAGACGCTATTTTGTCATTTTCTTTTAAATACCGTGATGAGCCAAATGAGTTAGTTAAAAATAGAACTGACTCGTTGTTTTCATTTTATCACCGCTTAGTAATGTTATCGTCTCACATAAACAGATTGATGGATGTATGATCTGTGGAGGCGAATAAAAGCTGACCATTGGAGTATAATTTGTTTTGTAGGCTTTGTATATTTCTGACAATTTTGTTAAATATATAACTGATTGTGGGGTAGCTTGAATTGCATATGTTTCTTTGGTGCTATCTGATGTGAAGCAAGTCAGGCTGAGAATAGAATGCAGTCATAACGAAAAGATTAATGAGATTAAAACTATGCCTTGTGGAAACTAGCGATAGAACATTCATCAGGTGAATAAAAGCGATCACAAATGCGACAATGTTACACTACACACAAATGCAGAGCAACCATATTTTCCAGTTGCTTCTGTTTGATTCATTCTTTGTATGCATACCATATTGCTGTAGTTCTTTAGAATATGACACCACTTGTCAGCCTCTGAGAAATGAAATCCCCTATAAACATGCTGACCCGTAAGTTTCTGTTAAGTTGAGTGTAAACATTAAGCATTGAGAAACGGTTGCCATAATCATGATGGAATCAAAGATATCAGTGGATAGGTTGTAAGAAATCAAGATCTAACCCAATCCATTGAGAATTATGACTGATTCACTCAATAATGACGCCTAATTAACAAATACAGCTCATGTGTATGAAATAATCTCCATTATATTCAACTAAATTTTATGTAATTGTAACCATATACACTCCAGCTAAACTGACGGCAGTGTGTGACAGCACTTACTGGTTATCGTCGTGAATTTCGGAATGTCCACCTCCATTTCCAGTTAACCTAGTACTACTTGTCACCTGGCCACTATATTCATGTACGGTTGTTATGAATTTCAGCATCACTGTCAGATATTGGAATCCTCAATGACTGACTTATTATAAATTTTCTATATGCACTACAGTTTGTTAACATCACAAATGACACCAGTGAATTAGAAAAGTTTCATTCATCTAAGACAGAATAACTACACAAATGGTTCAATACAATCACGATAGAAGATTATTCGAACGCTTACTTACATTCTGGATATTTTTCGCGTTCTTCACGGGCTGCTGGGGGATAGGATGAAACCTTTTCCCTCATGTTTTTATTGTTTTTTCCTGTGTAATTGCTTCGATTGTATGAGGCCGTGAAGGAGAATTCAATCCTATAGGAGAGATAAACGTATAATCCAGACAGGGGAAATTATATTCTTTACATTCAGTCATTCTTTTCTAATAATTTGATGAAGTTATTAAGACTGTTATCCCGGAAATATTCCTTCATTGTCAGTAAACACATGGAAGAGCAAAAATCATCAAGAACTAAATGACAGTTATTTAATGCTTTGTTTCGAACTCCTTTGTGAGCTGAAACATTATAGTGAATATACAGGACACCAGATAAAATTGTACTTATTCATTATGTCTATTGAGATGTTTTGTTAAAAGTTTACGGATCATCAATTCTCCATAACGGGCCACAATGAAGCTTTCACATATATATATGGATGAGACTACGGGAACATATGTATTGAATCATTCCTCCAAAACGCTGAGATTTACAAATACCTCATCTTAGATAATATCTGCATAATGACCGCCAGTGTAAGAAAACAGGTACAAAATATAGGTGTTCCTGAGAAATGTCCTATAGTAAAGCGACACTATTGGTTACACACATGGTGTTTACTAGTTTTCAGCTCCAATGTGAATTTACCATACCATACAAGTGAACACAAGGTAACATTATTATTATTATCATCATTAATACTATTATTAATATTATTTTTCCTTTAGAGTCCTGGTCGAACATACCGCTTCAGTAGCACGTCGCCATTTCACTTTCTTCTCTCCAGTCTTCCAACCTGGCTACACGACTACCCACAAGCTTTCACTTCTTCCTCACACCATCTCCTTCATCTCACCCTCGCCTCGGACACCCAACTCGTCATTTCCCACACAGGTTCCACTCAACGGCCTGGACTGGCCTGGTGCGTGGTGTCCCCAAACGGTCTTCTCAATCTATGCCAAATCCATCTCCACTTTCTTCCACATATTTGTTGGGCGATAGTTTCTTGCCTCGTTGGTTCGTTGTGGGGCCAGTCAGAGTTCCTTGTTGCTTATTCTCATTATCCTGGCCATCTGGTCTTCAGTATCGAAAGAGTGTAGGCAACTGTTGATGAATGTCTGAAGTTTGTTGGAAATGCTTTTCGTAAAGCGCCAAGTCTCTCAACCATCATATAGAAGCACTGACTTACTTGACTGACTTAGTGTTGAAAATCCAGATGTTGTTCAGGCTTTATGCTGAGTGGAGTGCAGTAGATCTCGACACTGATTTCAGGTTAATGCAGGAAGGTCTGTCTTGCTGTTCTTCCGATGCTGGCTGCTTTCACATCCTCATCTGTGTCTGTGTCGCCTGTAGTTGGAACGATGCTGCCTAGATAGGTGAGAGAGACTACTTTCTTTAGGTTACTCCCGTTCATGGTGAGTGGTGCTCGTTGTTGTTGTTGTTGATGATGATGATGGTCGGGTATCTTCATCACCTCTGTTCTCTCTACGTTCACTTGAAGGAAGTCCCGTCTTCGCTGCCCTGCTTCTTCTCTCAACTTGTTTGTTTTCGCCTGTAGTTCTTTGAGTTTGTGTGACAAGACATTAGACATAGGTCATCATCGTTGGCGAAATCCAAATCTTCTTCTGGGGTCTTTTCATCTGTCCATCCAGCGTATACCCATATTCTCGCCCCTCACAGTTTGTTGTATAATCCAGTTGAGTCCAGTCCAGTTGACCACAATCAGGAAGTTGATCGGTGATCGTAGGCGGCAACCTTGTCTTACTCCTGTCTTCACTTCAGAGGCATCACTGAGCTTTCCATTGTGGATCACTCGGTATGTGGCGTCTTCATATGGCTGTTGCATGAGGTTGATAAAGGTTTGTGGCACTGAAACCGTAGTGTTGAAGCAGCAGTTGCCTGTCAAATTACTTCTCGGTCGACGCTGTCGAAGGCCTTTTCAAAGTCGATGAAGTTGAGGTACAGGTACACTTGACTGCCATTCTATGCTCTGTTATATGATGATGCGTAGCGTAGCGTTGCAAATTTATCCGCACATGATTTGTTCTTCCTAAAGTCAGCCAGCCTGTTCCGGTTGCGATGTTGAATCCAGAGCATCTTCTAGTCTCTTCAGGATGATGCAGCTTAATATTTTGCTTGCTTTGATTGGACAGCGATCGAGCCTGATTCCGCGTCAGTTCTTGCAGAGACGTAGGTCGCCCTTCTCTGGGAGTTTGAAAAGGTAACCTTCCTTCCAATCAATAGGTAGGTACCTTCCCTTCCTTCCACACCTTCTGCATCAGTGGTGTGAGCATGTCCTCTGTTGTCTCTGTGTCTGTTTTCAGCGTTGCTGGTGGAATTCCATCTGGTCCCGCTGCTTTTCCGGATTTCAGCAACTTTATGACGTTCATGACTTCGGCTTTTGTCGGAGAGCTTGTGTTCACCGGTAATTCTATGGCTGGGGTGCTGGTGGTATTTCTGGACGAGTTGCAGTTAGTGATTGACTGAAGAGTTTTTTGAAGTGGTCAGTCCATTGTTTCCTCTGTTTCCTCTCTTTGCCAACTAGCTTTCCTTCACTATCTTACATTGGTTTCATCTGCCTTGATTTCTCCCCTCCCACACAGTAACCTGGTTATTTCATACAATGTTGTCAGGTCTCTCCTACCACCAGCCTGTTTTACTTCAATCGCCAGTGTGTCGTAGAAGTGTCTTTTGACTTTGCGTGCACTCGTTTTCACTTCTTTGTCCAGTGTTTTGTACGTGGTTTGTTTTTCAGTTGTGCATCCTTGCACTGCACTGGTTCATCTTCTGTTTCACCATCTTCTTCTCCTCTCCTCTCCCCTATCAGCTTCTATGTGTCCGTTGAGATCCATCCCTTGTCCTGTTTCTTCTTCCTTCCTAAAACGTCATGCAGGTTTCTCTCCAAGTTGCTTTCAAAGAGTTCCAGTGTCCTTCCACACAGGTTTCTTCAGGGATGTTGCTCAATGTCTCCCATTTTGTCCTGATGGCTGACTAAGGTGAAGATGTACTGTGTAGTTTCGTCTTTCAGTTCAGTTTCTGTTCTGGGTGTTCAACTTGAACTATGGCCTATCACTAACTTCTTTGAAGGCTTTCAACTGGGTTTCGAGGGTAGGTTCATTGCACTAGACGGTGAGTGGTATAAAGCTACATCTGCTCCCCTCTTGATCTTGTGTTCATTCGACCGCGTCTCCACTTACTTAAGATTGAAATGAAGTCGATCTGATTTTCAGTGTTGTGTATCCCGGTGTCTGGTGAAATCAAATCCATGTCGCTGCCTTGTGAATATCCTTGTGTTTGTGCACACTGCCTCAAATCACCAAATCGTTGAATGCACAGAAGTCTACAAATAGTTCTCCATTCTCATTTGTCATTTCACCGAGTACTTCTCGACCGATGATGAGTTCTCTTCCTGTGTTGTCTGCTCCCAGTTTGGCATCCATCTCACCCATTAGAATTTTGATGTTGCCAACTGAGGTGGGGTCTTGCCCAGTACTCATTGCAGTTGTCTGCAGAATTCCTCCTTCTTTTCTTGATCTGTATTATTTGTTGGCGCGTCGCATTGAATCATTGTGACTTTTCTTCCTTTTGAGTTGAATCTTGCTGTCATGATCCTGATCGTGGAGGAGATTGGTTCCCACTGCATGGGAGAGAGCCTTCGATGCTGTTCGGGACATCATGATAGCTACTCGAGAACTCAGTGTGCTCGTGGTTGTCGTCTGTATGACAATATCGGAGTAGGTTATTGACTCCTATCCAGTTGACAGTTTGGAGAGACCACTTCCATTCCATCTACTTTCGCAGATTCCAAGCACTTCTACGTCATACCTCCTCATCTCTTTTGCAATCTGGGCAGCCTTACCAGCCAGCCAGCTTCAAACATTGTTCAGACATTCCATGTTCCCGTTCTTACTTTCGCTTTCATCGAGTGAAGAGAAGACAAATCACTCGACTGGTTTCTCGAAGGTTTTCATCAAACGGCGTCATTTTGTCACCAGGATTCCAGCGAAGAATGGATTTGTTTCTATTTTTTATATTTTTTTGTACTTTGAAGTTTCTATAGCGAGTGAATTGGTTTTACGGAGTAGAATTAGAAGCCCCACGGCAAACCTTCCCTCATTAAACGGGCTTAGGACCGGCAAGTAACTAGTGAGCTAGTTAGCTAGGCGAGGTTATAAGGTAACTTATTATTCACCCTACTAGTACTCCAATTCTGATATGTGAACACATTTCCCCATGGTCGAATATTACCTTTCTATTACAAATCTCCACCAATGCATAAAGTCAACTTACTCCATAGACCCTCGAAGTGATCTTTTGTAGATGTTAATCCACTTCATCTCGGTTCCAGACCTGAGTGCATTTTTTCTTTTAGTTAGAGGATACACAAATCGGTCAATTATGTTCTTATCCTGATCATCTTCATTGAACACTTCAATGTCGAGAGTTGCTTCATCGAGAGATTCTTCCTACAATTAGAAACAAATATTGTTGTTTAAAGTAAGTATATTTGTAAAATCTCATTAAGACTGTACAAATATATTTTCTTTCATAATTCGTTTACCCAGTCCTGAACTTGTTGAATTCTTTTAGAACAAACTTTTATCCTGAAATCTGTAGAATATTGTATTGCTGTCTGGTGTAAGTGGAAACCGGTGGGAACCGTATAGACTCAAAGTGTGATCGTTGTGATAGCGCAAATAATGGTAGTTCGTCGTGGCCTTATCATCACTTTCGATAAAATAAGGTTTCACTGATAATAGTTCTTTGAATCAAGAGAAAAACCATCAGCGCTTCAATGCCACTCTTCAAATAATCCCGACAATAAACTCTCATTTTGTCAAGTATAGAAAGATGGAAACATTATCACCTATTGTTCTTCAAGTTGTACCGACATTTAGTGAAATTGACATTTAGATACCAATGTAAATAAAAATTACTCTGCTTCGCATGTTTTCCATGTGGAATGTGAAGGCAAAAACAGACTGAACTTCTTGTACCTTAACGTTGGATAGAAATTATTGTACACTTTAAAAATAGCTTTAAATTGGAAGGAAACATGGATGGCTCAGTACATCAGCTACAAAAGTTTTTGTCCCGTCAGTTGTTAACGGGGTTTATTGAAAATGACATTCTTCAGAGTAAGAAAATTACGTTCAGAGGATAAACTCACAGGAGAACTATTCATTAATAGGAAGACTGTTAGAAAGAACGGATACTCTGTAAAGTTTATTCCGAAGTACGCAAGAGGACATATCAAAAACCTTACATTAAACTTGAGAAGAAGCTGGTTTTCATTCATTTGGAATTCAAGAAAGGTGATATATTAGAAAGGATTCATAAACCGATAAAATGTGTAGCGAGGAGCAGCTTTCCTTTTATCAACCTGATATCTTTTTGCAAGGGTGCAAGCTCATTTGGACAACCTACTATAGATAAACACCTTTCTCAAATCACTTCCGACAGTATTTACCAACCAACATATGTGTGCGGAGACAATGGCATACGAATGATATCGACTCAGTTGTATGAGTAAGCTCTGTGAAATTTGTCACTGAAACTACACGTCTCTGAATCAAGTACCAACCATCCTATCACCCAGAATAACCAACCAAACTGTGAACTGGATCTTTGTTTCACCTCCAAAACTTATACTTTTCACTACTAACAGTTACAAGTAGTACGACGTCACGTATCTAGGCTCACTAAACTGAAGACCAAATTTGTATTCTTTTGAGTCACGTGAGCTTGGTCAAGCATAGTCTCTCAATATGTTTGATAATGCTCCTCGACTCAACTATATTTCTATTCAGTGTTATAATGAATAGATGTTGGGAGTGATTGTATTTTACAAAGCAAACTGTTTTATGAAAGTGATGTGGAAAATGGACTTAAACAAAATACTTAGAGGATGAATGTGTCGAAAATTTCTTCTCGTCCCTGACTTTATATACATGAGCGGAAAATTGCAACTATACTATACAAAGGCTTCAATATCCTAGTAAATTCAGTCAGCAAGCATTTTTGAAATCACTTTATGACGACAGTATTTCATGCGTTATTTATCTACCACATTTGATGGCTTTCTGAAGATACTTACCAGGGAATGACGTGATTAGTTGAAAAATAATCAGAATACTTCATGTAGTAGATTGCTGAAGCCTTAAAATGATTCCACAGTGTCGTAAACCAAGTAACTGAAGTGAAGGCAAGTGAAAACGGGCTAGGAACTGACATCAAAATTTCTGATCGAATGGATGGTTCTAAGCCTGAACACATTGAAGATAAACTGGAAAGATAGATCAGGTATTACCTAACGCATAGATAAAGTGATTATGAATCGCCTACAGTATGTTTTGGGGCGAATCTATCTATTCGATTGCGGTCATGAACATTGAAGTAAATGCTTCCACTGTGATACAAGTCAATTCAGCTACATTTCCTCCATAACTAAGTTCATATTCAAGAATGCATCCGACTGAATACCATGAATAGTTGTACAAAGTTGACACTATTTCACGGTCGTTATTCACACTGAAGGAATTTAAGCACCGGGTGAACAATATGCTGTTTGGATCACAGCTCATCAGCGATGTATTGGAACTGACACACTTCAGTTTTCTGAATGATTCCAAGCAATTTCTCACATAAGTCAGTGGAGGTTGTTATGTACAATTGGTCTCCCCATATTCCATGCCATCATTGTACGTACCAAAAGGTTTGGATGTTATGAAAAAAGTGGTTTGATTTCCCACAAATACAAAAGTGCAGTATTCTATTGATATAAGTGGTGGTTGTCACAATCTTACAGAGCACTGTGAGGCTAGCAAACAGTTGTAGACATGCATCGAAATGAGTCTGTTCCTCTTCTCCCAGATATCTTCAAGAATCATTTATATCTGACTATCGCTTATGTGTTGACTGAGTATTCCGATATATTTAGAATCACTTTCCGGATCACCTGCTGAGTTGTGTTTATTCATCATGATATTATTTCGGCCGGTTTCGATGAAAATTCAATTAACATTATTTGAAACAATTAGCCCCTTTAGTAAATTTCTATAACGCTATTAGAAGACGAAGATTATCTGAAAAATGTGATGTTTTGTGCAATACATCACATTTTTCAGATAATCTTCGTCTTCTAATAGCATTATTGAAATTAACACTATGTTCACTATACGCAAAGTAGGTCAGTCTTCATATAGTAGTCTAAAATGTTGAGTGGTTGAAGACATTCCACAGGAGGCTCCCAGACTGGTTATTATCTTCCATGTCAGTCATCTAGAAGACATTTACACTGCCCAGATAAGTAATGCTGTAACTAAGACTAGATCTCACGTTACTCAGAACCACACTTGATGAAGCTAATGTTGAGGTTTAAAGGTGACGGCCTAGGTCTTGACAGTGTCCCAGTTCTCACTATCCAGTGATCCGTTTGTGTCCTCACTTTGTTCACTTAGGAAGAGGATAACTCAGTTATGACTCATGTGACTGCCCTAGTGTCTGGAATTAGTTCTAGTCTTAATGGCATCATGAAATTCCTCAAAGTTGCAGATCCATCTTTTTGACAACCTTCAGTAAGTGAGAGGTCTGTTTAACAGATTCCTGCAGGTGTTCCTCGAATAGTGTCAACTCAATTACAGTATGTTTTAAGCCCGAGGGAATTTTCCTAATGGCTGAAACGCACGTCTGCTCTTTTATACTCTGTTTGGACTATGGACTAAGACTGGTCACCTCTCATTACCCATTAAGTGTAGTTGAAGACATTCAGCTCAGCTGAAGGTCATAAACTTCAGTGGTTTGAGTAGTTTATTGGGAAAATCTTTGACTTCAACACTAAGTGACATTGACTTGAGTCACGTAGGAAAAGTGAGTTCCCTTGGAGCAACAGCCACAATTTGTGGATGAATGTCAACAATCAAGGAACCTAAATGTGAGACTCCCTGTCAAATGAACCTAAATGCAAACAACAGCTTTTAGCAATATCCATAACCTTATTTATACTTACATTATAAATTTCAGTCGAAATATTCACAGCGTTACTTGTAATTTGTGGAATCATCATTGAGGGCGGTTCCTGCTCCAGTCTTTTGATTTGGAAGTTTCGTTGAATCGGCGTAGCGCACATACTAGACTGAAGAAATCAAAGAGTCATAGAAATGAATCCGTTTGTTCTGCTAAGTCATGTTTGCAATACCTCAGTAACTAAAATGATAGGATACACAAACCTTAGGAATAATAATATTCACAGTTTAAGGTAGCAAATATTTCGACACAGAAGGTTATCGACTTATTCAACGCTGTTGCCTTCTCCAGTGATTTTGAAGTATTTCAGGATATTTTTCTTATTAATAATGGAGTAGAGGCAATATCTAATCACCAATTTATAACTGACACTCAAGAAAATTCCTCAAATCTGTGAAAATGCAGTTTTCGCTCTCTTCAAGGATCTGATTGGTCACACTTAGACTCATTAAAACTTAGGAATCAGTATGAAATGGTTATACATACTTTATTCCCACTGTCATACAATTACCGAGGGCGAAGAATAAGTCTGCTGAACCTTTGTGATAGCCATTTCGACCTGTATGAAATTTGTCTTTACAGGAGTTATTCACGTGCAAATTAGCTTTATTGTTTTGCAAGGTTACACTTTGTTCAATCTTCTGATGCTAAGTGATTATGAACTTACAATGAATTCTCTGAATTTTCCAGTTTTATACTGCGTTGAAATCTGGCAGTTTATATAATTCGTGCTGAATCTGGAGAATGAATATATGTAGGATCTTCAGCTTTTTATTGTTTACCGTCAGTGCCTTAAAGAGTATATGCACCTGAGTAACTTTGATCAACTAGACAGGTACAGATACATTGAAGGGTAAAATGGTAACTAACATTTCCACTTGAATCTTATTCAGCTTCCGATCGTCAGTTATTTGTCATGGAACCACTGCCAGTCATTCGTAACCATGATTTAGCAGCAAGAGATTATGTCAACACTTGTGCTTACGTTTCTTTTCCGGTTGTTATTTTGTCTATCACCAGACAACAGTAGCTAGATTTTAAACCCATCACTCACTAGGTGACATCTGTGCAAGTATATTGTCGATATCATTTGTCGAAACGCCAGGCAAAGAATAATAGCTGTAATGATGCTTCGGTGTTCTCTGGTGCATAGACTGCGTAGTCTGTTTAAATCTCTGTCACATGAAGCTTTACCTCCATATCAGCCTTATAAGAATAGCATCTTCACAGACTTTATTTGAGGTATATTTTATGTTTGAATGGCTTGTTGCTGGCATGACATATTCTCAGCCCACCCTTAGTACTTGCAGTGGAATAAGAACTGTGTTGATTTAATTCTAAAAGTTGACATCACAGTTAAGCCATACTACTTAATTTTGTGGGTTTGTACGGAAATACCATTGAGAAGTGAAAATACGACTCAATTGACAAGTATAAATACATTTACTGAGGTGTTCGTGACATGTTAGCTATCACTCACCTTTGCAAGTCTGTGTGAACACACACTTTGAATACCGGTGAACAGAATGCATGCTTATCCAGATAACACGGTGTTCCGTTGGGTTTATTTTTTATGGTGTAGTTACAACTCTGTAGGTTAGCACTAACTGACAAATGACCTGCCATAGCCATTTCAGCAACTGTCAGCAAAGAAACTGTCAGCAGCATGCAGTACACCATTATCTCTGAAAGTAAGAAATACAAGTGTGTGCATCTTAATTTATTTCCTGTGTAAGTGGACCGTGTAGACATCACCCTAGATTCACATAAGCTACCAAGAGTACCTGAGTCAGTTCTCCTACATGATATCAGTGAAATTACCAGATAAGGAACTGAAACGTCCATGAAATATATACGCAAAACCCTAATGAAATATATGGTGTTTATAACTAGAATAACAGAACAAATTTCCCTCAATTTAAATCAGATAAACGCTACCAAAATTTATTTCTTCTAATGTATTCTCAATATCCACTGAATAAATATGCGTCCATGTACAACGCTAGCACTGAAGTAACAATGCTCTAATAGGAAGTTCGTTGATTAGTGTAAATACGAATCCATAAGAAATTCAAAAGCCAAATACACAATCATCTGCTTCTCAACATTCTTGTATGTCTTGTAAAGTCAAGCAATCTGGGATTCATAATTTTATCCCCTTAAAACTACTCCGTTTTCACCTCATAGACAATGACAAATAGTGTTCAACACACGTCATCTTCCATTATGTGTGCACGTAGTCCCTGCTGTAGATAACTATGTGGAGTAGCAAACGTAGTGTGATAGGAAGTGGTTTGAATGGAAATCAACATTTTGATTCATTAATTGGTGGGGTAGAAACTTTTCAGCTTCATTTTTCATCTGTACTACTCTGTGCTCAGGATAATTTCACTCGACAATTTCACACTTCAGAGAGGCAATCAGAATATGTTTTTCCATCTTCGACCTACCTCATTATTATTATTATTATTATGTCTGTATAAACTGCATGTACATGATGCCATTTTGTCTAGATGAAGTCAACCTTGCAGTCAAACACCAGTCTCTGTCTTGTTATATTTCGTGACTCAGTGAACAGTCGTTAGCACATTCAATTCGAGTATCTCATATCAGCATCCTACTCCACTCTATCAGTTCACAGTGAAATTTAGTTGACCATAGGGTTATACATACTCGATGCGTTCATGTGATTTCTCATAATCTTTCGTGTCTCACTTGTATTCCATTTTATAACTGCACTCGGTGATCGCTGCAGTCACTCAAACAGAGGGTTCAGTTCAATTGTGGTTGACGAGGAGTTGGAGTGACATCACACATGGATCTTCAATTTCCTTGGCAGTAGGTATCAAGGTTGTCTAAAGTGAGCAACTGAACCTGATGACCGACACTAACTTTGAGTGTACAGTATGCCTGAATACTTTCATTTCACCATCAGAATGGTCCATGCAACTGCGTATCACGCTCATGCATATGTAAATGCTTAGTGATAATAATAATTCTCGAATGGTTGGTCAGTCAGTGACTTGTCCGATCCCTATTATTCTGTCGTCTGTTGGGAGTGAAACGAGTCAAGGCGACAACCGATGTCACAAACTACAAATAACATTGTACATCTCATTCAAAACGTAGCCTGATAGAGTATTGCAGTAGTGATGTCAGAATTGAACGTGCTCAGGATTTGCTTTTACAGATTAGACATCATGAAGGCTCGTCGGTGGTCCGTGACCAGGGATTTCACTAACCACAAAAAGCATAATAATCAATCGTATGTGGATTATAGACCTTTTAGAACTGATCACTGGGTGAATACACAAGACAAACTTCGCAGAAGACTACTAAGGTGGATAACACAAGTACATGTTGCTCAGAATGGCTGAGGGTTGATACAAACTAATGTGATCTAAGGTATATTACAAACAAAAATTTGAGCTGTTTTCACAACTTGTACTCGGGTATCATGTTTCCGGATACAGTTAAGTAAGATAATCTATAGTCTCTTAAAAGCACCAAATAACAACATAATTGACTATCAAGTTGATTGGCACGATGAATTCATCAACCGTTGCTACAAATATCCCAGTTGTGTGAATCAATCTGTTTGCTATTACTAAGCAGTTACTTTTTCCACAGAAATGATCAGGGACAATCACGCTCTATCACATGTTTCGATTCTACATCATCGTATGAGAACGAGATGCTGATGCATAAGTGAAGCGTGAAAATGTACAAGATGTTGATTCTTGTACTTGTATCATGGGTGTCATCAGAACGCAACATTTAAGATTAACTCACTTGTTGTCTGTCAGTATCCTTTGATTGAGTAATCCATTCTACATAAAAACCAGTATAAATTTATCTCAGTCACTATAGCTTCATGTGATTGAGTAAATAAAAAAGAGATGAATATTTACAGAAATCAAACATGTGGTATGGTTTGTTTACAGATGAATCCAAAGTAAACAAGGGTATGTTATGATGACGTTGATGTAGAAGAGGAGGATGGACAGAAAGACAATTTCAAGTATGACCGATTACTCTTATTCAAAAGCGCAAGATTAAGTGCAAGAGGATGTGAGGCGTAAAATATTTGTGATCATACCGGCTGAATGGTTTATTTCACACCGATCATTTTTATCCATATACTAAGAGGTTTGAGCACAAAGATCCACACAGTTATGCAGCCAAACTCAGTGCTACCTGGTTGCTTTGTGCAACAGATATGTTTGGTCTTCAAACCATATGTAGAGAACTTTGACTTCAGTTTTACTAAGACCGCTTGCAGAACAAGAAAAGCTCGTGAGATGCATCCATATTTATCACTACTACTCCCATGCTTAGCAAGTGATAAATTATTCTTGAAGAAGCCAGATCAGATGTGTCTTGAATAAACTTGAAGTGGATTCGCATGAATGAGAATCAAGTGAATAACTCTGAATACAAAACTCTGGCACTCTTCTTGTGTGAACTAACAAGTAGTAAGTAAGCGGTCCTGATTCCTTCTACCAATAACTGTGTGAATGCTCCGATTCGCAATCCACTGAGTAAGATCACTGTTTCAGATATCTTTTTCGATAATTACAGTTTCCTGCATTCCAAACGAAATTACTTCATTTGCATTTTCAGCAGTGTTGGTCCTTAGTTCGTTAGATTTTAGTAGAAAACAAATCCTATTCCATTGTTTAGAGTGTTCCATTTCTCCTATATATGCACTTGACAGGTTGAGTCATCACTAGACATGTGTTCATGGACTTCGGATCAGACACAATACATTCCTGAAAATATAAATGTAAAACTTGAGCATTGTGATAAAATGTAATTCCACTTTGATTGATGAATTAGATGTATCACACAGTGAAATAATATTAATAATTACTGGATTGCATTTCGAACATAATTTATTGTCCATGGTCATATCAAGATGACTGCATAGCTGTGAGACATGCTTTATATAGTTCTAATTCACTCGCCTTCTTTGTAGTAAAAGTAGTAGAATTTTCCAAATATTAAGAATAGGTGCTGAGTTATTCCTGTAACGTGTATTAGGTGTTGATTCAATCAACAAAGATTCAGTTGTCAATCTCTCTCTCCACTCTGCTATGTTAGTTTTAGGGATTTTCACCCTGTTTCATCCTATTGTGTAGTTGTATGTAATTGTAGGCATAGCTATAGTGGAGCTTTTTTCTAAATTCTTTATCTTATTAAGATCGGCCAACTTTCACCTAGTCAGGATTCTTTCTCGGGTAGCTTAATTGATCCTGTTCGACTACTTTAACCTGTGTAGTTGACCCTACATTCTTTGCAAACAATCAACATAGGACCAGGCATTACTACGTAACGGTCAGAGTTGCCACAGCTCATATCAGTACATCAAGCAGAAAGGTAGTGAGGTCCAAGATGAAGATAAGAAAATTCAGTCGAAAGAAATATAAAGTACGAGGAGAAAGAAAGGGAGAATGATAAAATGGTGAGATTCGGTATAGCATCGTTACGATGAGGATAATGTGTGTATACATCTACGCCACTGACATCGGTTCTGAGCCATATCTCCTAGAGTCTCCAACCACTGGTTCCTCTTGTCCCGCGGACCCTAACCACTTAGTCTGCATCGCCCCACACGGCTCAAACCAACAGTCAGGGACTTCATACATTGATTCCATGTTTTAGTCTGGCCACCTCGAGCCTTTTTCCAGCCCGGACCTACTTCTGCCAACATTGTGTGACGAGGCAATCGGTGATTGGGCATACGTAACACATTATTTGCAAGCAATTCGGTAAACTAAATTATTCTGTCTAATTAGATTGATAGGATCATTTAACCTATAAAGCTTATTTCTAAGTTATTTTGTAGGTTTGAATACCAGTGTATACCCGGCCTTATTGAGAATCCTATGTATTATTTCTGAGGTACCTTACTTGTGTGGTAATACTGTAGAGGTCTAGAATTCACTCATGATGGGATTCCCCATAGTAATGTTGTTACTGTGATTATCATCACGATTGTTTGTATTAATGATATTACTACTACTACTACCACTACTACTACTACCACTACTACTACTACTACTACTACTACTACTACTACTACTACTACTACTACTACTATAACTACTACTACTACCACTACTACTACTACTACTACTACTACTACTACTACTACTACTACTATAACTATAACTAACTACTACGACTACTACTATTACGCTACGATTACTAATACTGCTATTACTACGACACTACTACCAATACTACTACTACTTCACTACTACCACTACTAATACTGCTACTATTCCTACTACTACTACTACTACACTACTACGACCACTGCCAATACTACTACTGCTATTACTACTACTACTACTACTACTACTACTACTACTACACTACTACTACTAACACCTGGTTGCTGATCTCAGTCATGTTCTTCTAACGATTCAAAGGGAATTTGGTAATTAATTTATGAGGGTAGTTATTAGTGAGCAAGCTATCTTTAGCTTAACAAATCTCTGGCTTAGACGTTCTGTTTTACTAGAAAGTTTCTTGCCCCTGTTACTAAGGGGTATTAGTAAACTAACTTTAGCTGACAGGGTGAGATGATTTCAAGTGTGAGTAACGATTCGAGTCTGGTTTTCTATAGACAGTAGTTTCTAAACTCCCAACTTGTTTTAGTCTTATTATACAATCTAACATTCCTAATTCCTATTCACCACTTTCCAATTCAAACGTAAATTGGATTGAGTTGACTACTGAATTTGTACGTGTGAAGAAAGTGTTCATATGCCTCAATTTCAACACTATAAATGTATCATCTACATTTTTAAAACATACTTTTGGAGTGGTACTAAATGTTTCGACAGCCATCCATTCTCAACTATCCATAAATATGTAAGAGACTGGATATTTTTATTACGTAATACGTAACTAGCCTTACTAAACTCGATGTGCTCTAGTACCCACTTAGTCAGTAGCTTACCTTACGTGTAAGTACTGATAGCGAAACACAAATCAAAAAGACTCGGTTATCTAGGAATATACTTGAAAGAGCAATATATTTAAAAAGAATAAAAGTGAAAGGGATTTTTTGGAAAAAAGTTTATTCAACTTATCTGACTGACATGGCTGATCTAGGAACTTTGAGGATTTCGGTATTAACCAGAACAAAGGGAGCATAAAATGGCGTTGCAACTTGCTTGTTCAACTTTTCTGGCTTTTGAGCGAATTCAAAGGTATCTTTCAGAATGTGGACAGGTTACTTGGCACGGGTTAGTTCCCTTTGTTCCTACGACCATCGAATCAAATCATGAAACAGTAGACTGAACATAGACAGGACTAGTCGTACAGTAACATCTGGTTTATGCATCTCTGGCAAGCCATATTAATGTTGCAATATAGATTTGCTAGTAGAATGCATTATACTCTACCTTATAACTGTGGTAGAATGCAATTCCATTTTAATTTATTTATTAAATGAGACACAGTGAAACAATATTAATTACTGGATTTCGTTTCCAAAATAACTGATCTTCTGTTCCACTTTGTGATACATCTAATTGATCAATTAAAGTGGAATTGCAATCCTGGAGTATATACATGTAGCTTGTGTCATTTTAAGTTGACTCGTAGTGGAAAAGAAACCATTCCTGTCAATTCGAATTGCGCATTTCAAGAGATTCAATCAGCGTAATTCGGCACTGAAAAAAAATCTATGGAAGCAGACAGATAATATTGCTTAAAATGTAGCTATACTGATATTGCCAGTCAATACGTTGTATCGTAGCATTCACAGTCAACATTTCATTTAAAGATGGCCAATCAGAATTAAGAAATTCTATGAACGATGAAACCATCGTTATACTTCGACTGGACAAAGATTCTAACATGGTGACAACGGGCTTAGGTAACTATGTACTCACGGTCAAATCAACTCTGTAGGACTCATCAACTGGTCGTTCAAAAGAAGACTTGACTGGATCAAAGAAAAGTCTGACAGATATGAATAAGTTAAACAAACTTTTGAAGGAAAAAAGACTTGTCGATAACACACATGATGGACTGAGAATCAAAGGATCCATTTTGTTGTAAGCGTAAAACTTGGTGATAGGGTAAAGTATAATGCATTCTACTAGCAAATCTATATTGCAACATTAATATGGCTTGCCAGAGATGCATAAACCAGATGTTACTGTACGACTAGTCCTGTCTATGTTCAGTCTACTGTTTCATGATTTGATTCGATGGTCGTAGGAACAAAGGGAACTAACCCGTGCCAAGTAACCTGTCCACATTCTGAAAGATACCTTTGAATTCGCTCAAAAGCCAGAAAAGTTGAACAAGCAAGTTGCAACGCCATTTTATGCTCCCTTTGTTCTGGTTAATACCGAAATCCTCAAAGTTCCTAGATCAGCCATGTCAGTCAGATAAGTTGAATAAACTTTTTTCCAAAAAATCCCTTTCACTTTTATTCTTTTTAAATATATTGCTCTTTCAAGTATATTCCTAGATAACCGAGTCTTTTTGATTTGTGTTTCGCTATCAGTACTTACACGTAAGGTAAGCTACTGACTAAGTGGGTACTAGAGCACATCGAGTTTAGTAAGGCTAGTTACGTATTACGTAATAAAAATATCCAGTCTCTTACATATTTATGGATAGTTGAGAATGGATGGCTGTCGAAACATTTAGTACCACTCCAAAAGTATGTTTTAAAAATGTAGATGATACATTTATAGTGTTGAAATTGAGGCATATGAACACTTTCTTCACACGTACAAATTCAGTAGTCAACTCAATCCAATTTACGTTTGAATTG